TTTGCCTCAAGGTTTTGGGGTCTGGCAAAGGCACAGCAGCAATTTTGGGTTATCTAGAAGTCTGAAGGCGCCATGAGGCTGCTGATGCACTCGCCTCACGGGTACAAATTGACCTGCTGGCAGCACCATACCCCCAATAAATTTTATTTTTTAACCATTTTGTTTTTGTTTTTGGGATGGGGGCCATGCTGGGTCTCACATATGCTTGGCAAGTATTCTATCACTGAGCTACATATCCTTTTCTAGATGTATCACTACAGCAGATAATACTGTTGCTCACCAAGCGGATAGACAGTCTTTTTAGTCTTAGAGATCAGTATAAGGTGTTTTGGGGACTGGATTAAAAGGGCACTTAGTCCAGTCAAGGATTGGGTTTTTGGGGAAAGAGTAGTAGAGTAGTTACTAGACAAGAAGCTGAGATGAGGAAATGGTATTCTCAGAACAAGACAAATGGCATTCGATATGCCAAACACAGTAACAACGAGTCTCACGAAGGAGACGTTACTGGGCCGCTCGAGCAAATCGATGAACAATGGGAGGACAGTGACAGTTCACAATATTTGATTTCATTTAATATTCTAACACCAATCCCCCCACCATATTTTGTATGTTTCCATCCCGAAATCCAACCCCTGCCCCAAAGCAGAACCGAAATAATTTTATTTTGTATTGTTATGAATAATCTGCTGAAAATGATTCAAAAAAGCTCTCTTAGAGGAAAGTGTGTGAAGATTGTTGGATTTCACCCAGGAGCCATTAAGCCCTTCTATAAGAGATTACTAACATGTTAAAGGTTTACCCTTGTGTGCTTATCTATATACGTATATCCGTAAAAATATATTTCTTCCTAAGATTGGTTACCTTCTACTTTAAACCCCATCAAATGTGGTTTAAAGTAGAAGGTAACCAAGATGCCGCTCTGTCTAATGTTCATTGATTTAAAGAAGGCCTTTGATTCTGTTGAGATGGAAGCGGTCATTGAAGCCCTAGCCAATCAGTGCATTCAAACTCAATACATCAGGATCCTCTGTGAGCTGTATTACGGATTCACTACCAGGATCTCACCATTCTACAAAGAAGTTATCATTGATGTCAAGAGAGGGGTTCGGCAGGGTGATACCATTTCACTGAAACTCTTCAGTGCCACCCTCGAGAACATCATGCGACGACTGGAATGGGAAGGAATGGGAGTGAAGATAGATGGTCGGCAACTACACCACCTCCGCTTTGCTGATGACATTGTTTTAATAACACCAAACATTAGCCAAGCGGCACAAATGCTGGCCGACTTTAACCGTGAGTGGAAAGGTTGGACTACAGCTGAATCTTATGAAGACAATGTTTATGAGAAACAGCCTCGTCCCTGATGCTTCATTCGCTCTCAACGGAACAACCATCTCTGAATGCAACAGTGTACCTAGGTCGAGAAGTCAACATGACAAATGACCTGGCACCCGAGCTGCGCAGGAGGAAGAGAGCAGCTTGGAATGCCTTCAAAAGCATCGAAGAAATAGCTAAGAGGATGAAGAACCTCTGGCTCCGGGCACATCTCTTTGATTCCACTGTTCTTCCTGCATTAACATGCACCTCAGAGACCTGGGCCCTACGCAAACAGGATGAGAACGCTATTCAGGTCTCCCAAAGAGGAATGGAAAGAGCTATGCTTGGAGTATCACTTTTCACTCAAATGAGAGAAAGAATCCGGAGTTTTGACCTCTGTCGACGATCAAGAATCAGGGATGCTGTCTCCTTTGCCAAGGCGTCAAAAATCAGATGGGCTGGTCACGTAATGAGATTCTGAGACAACCACTGGACTAGAGCCATTACTGACTGGATTCCACGGGATGTCAAAAGACTGCGTGGCCGCCCACCTACCAGATGGTCAGACTTCTTCATCAAGATCATGAACGATTGGTTTGAGGCTCTTCTTGTTCCTAGAACGAACAGACGCCATTGGGCTACACTAGCACGCAACAGGGAACAAATGGAGACGTTACTGGCGCCCGCTCGAGCAAATCTACGATTAACGGGAAGTCAAGTGATCAAATGTGGTGTGCTACTCTTGGAATATTAGTGGTGTAAGGTATATGATGTCACATTTCGGCTTCACCGTCCAGGAATAGGTTCACTCATGGGTGAGGCTCAACCCAAGCATGTGGAAAGCAGCCGTGAGCATGGTGGCAGTTGAGTTCTGGAGGTTTTCGGCTGCTGGGGCTGGCTCTGTTGGGTTGGAGAGGGGCTTCACTTGCCCTGCTCTGGGTTGCCCCAAGTGAAAGCCTGGCATGGGGTCTGGCGGCATGGCTATGGCGTATCGTTTTATACTCTCTTCTGAGAGATTTATAATGAGTCTCAGTTTTGCATATGTTTTATCTATGATTCTCTTTAGATATTTCTCAGAGTCCTTTCTCTTTCAAGAGGTAGGGAATGTCTAGCCTGTGTGTATAAGGCCCAAGAAATTCTGTGGTCTGGCCCTAGTACCAGATGGGATAGATACAACAGTTTTTCATTGACTGCCCACGGGACTCTCTGCTTGCTATTGTATAGTCTGTGAATGATACTGGGTCAAATCCTCCCTTACATTAATTCTTGCTCTTATTCCAGGTCTTAGGTCTTGTATCTAAAATGCGTCCTCTCTCTTGTCACTTTCACATCATTAGACAATGTGCAGCAAAAGAAGACTCTAGAACAGAATCCTGGAAAAATACTGAAGATGTAAGAGACAATAGAAGAGGATCATATTAAGCCAGAAATGGCCAATAATAGGTTCAGGGAAGAGTATTTTTTATTGTTTTTTGTTTGTTTGGGGGTGTTCCACACCCAGCAGTACTCAGGACTTATTTCTAGCTCTTTGCTCAGGTATCACACCTGGTAGAAGTTGGAGGACCATAGGAGATATTGGGGATTAAACCCCCCAGGTCAGCTGTGTACAAAGCAAATTGCCCTACCTGCTGTACTCTCTCTCTGGCTCTGGGATGAGTATATTATTATGGAGGGCAAAACTGATGGCATCAAAGAGGTCAAGACAGGCCAAGAACTATCAAGACAGCATAATTGTATTTGGCAAAATAAAGGCTGTAGTTATCTTAGGACAAAGCCTGGATACTATGTTGGATAATTCGGTGTTGTGTGTGTGTGTGTGTGTGTGTGTTTGTGTGCTCTCTACATTAGAGAGTGGGCTGGAGCGATAGCACAGCATGTAGGGTGTTTGCCTTGCACATGGCTGACACGGGTTTGATTCCTCTGTCCCTCTTGGAGAGCCTGGCAAGCTACCGAGAGTATCCCGCCCTCGCGGCAGAGCCTGGCAAGTTTCCCATGGTATATCCGATATGCCAAAAACAGTAACAATAAGTCTCACAATGGAGATGTTACTGGTTACTTGAGCAAATCAATGAACAGGAGGACAGTGCTACAGTAGTAGCATTCATGACCACTAGATGCCAAGCAGCACCCCATAGTGTGACAACCAAAAAGTGTTTCTCCTGGCAATGCCAAATTGTCTGTGGAAGGTGGCTACCAGTCATTGCCTTGGCAAAACCAATTTTGGTAGAGAATTGAAATGGAGTGGTGAAATAAACAGAAATTATAAAAATGGATACAGTAATAACTGGTTTAGAATCTTGATTATGAAAGGAGGTTAGAGGCTGAATGAGTTAAGTAAACAGGCATCTGGGTTTGTGAAGGTTCTTAATAAGTTGAATAATATCTGGAGAGATAGCCCAAGGTAGGGTGCTTGCCTTACACATGGCCAATTTGGATTTGATCCCCACCATCCCAGATGGTCTCCCAAGCATCTCCAGGAGTAACCCCTGAATGTTGCTGGGTATGGCCAAAAATCGTGTGTGTGTGTGTGTGTGTGTGTGTGTGTGTGTGTGTGTGTCTGTAAAATGGATAAAACTGAGCATGTTTATTACTACCTAAGAAATGGGGATGGAGGGAACAGAATGGTAGTATAGTGGGTAGGATGCTTGCCTTGTATGTGTCTGACATGGATTCAATCCTCGGTACTGCACATAGTTCCCCAAGCCCTGCCAGAAGTGATCTCTGATCTCTGAGCCAAGAGTAAACCTTAAGTACTGCAGGTGTGACCCTAACGCAAAACAAAAGATAAAAAATGAAACGTGGGACTAATCTTGAAGAGATGTTGCCTCTGAATCATCCTTGGTGACCCAGTTTCCGGGCTGAGATCTCTGGAGCCTTCTAATGATGGGGGCAGGCTGAGTCTTCACCCTGCCAAGAGGCCCAGCACCCCATCTACACCCAACCTTCCAGCATAAAAATGGCCCAGCTTCACAATTTAATTAATCTCAGAAGAGATGCCAAACTGCTGAATGATCTCAGTTCCACAGCTCCTGGATTGTGAGACTTTGACACCTCCGAATTTCACAGTCCTGACTGGAGCCCAGAAGATTAGATGGGAAAGTTGTGCAGAAGGCGCTCTAAGCTCAGTGACTGACAATGGCACCACGTAAGACTCAGCTAGCACTAAACAGCTCACCAAACAGTAAATACAAAATTTGACTTTAGTAACACCACCATGGTGATAATATGTTGTAACAAACAATATAAAGTAAATTATTTTGTGCCTGCTAAGGGAGCAGGCTTGGGGGGAGAAGTGGGAAACTGGGGACATTGGTGAAGGAAAGATCACTGGTGGTGGAATTGGTATTGGGACATTGAATACCTGAAACAACTGTATTATGAACAACTTTGTAAATCATGCCATTTAAAGTTTCAACAACAAAAAGAAATAAATGCTATTGAACCGTAGTACCTCAGCTACAATAGTTTACTTATTTATTTTTTACATTCTGAGTGTCTGAAGATAGTACAGCCTGACATGCTCCCCAGCCTGTGTTTGAACTCTAGCACAGAGTCCTCTAAGTGTTACCAAAGACATGAGGATGAGGGGAAGGAGCACACACCTAGGACTGAGGAGACAGAAGCCTCAGCAGGATTAGGTAGCGTGGCACTCATTTATTCACACAAGTATAGATTGTTGTCTCGGTGGAGCCTGAGAAAGCCACCTCAGGAGAAAATGTGGGCAAAGTACCAAACTTTCTGCAAGTTCAGCAAGGTCCAGAGCTATTTGGTGGTCTTTGGCTCCGATTGTGGTGGCCTATGTTGACTTTTGTCTTGGAGTCATAACACCATTGAATGAGGAGGTTGAGAAGTCAAAGGTAGATTCTTTCTCGACGCTCAGCCTTTCCTGTTGGTCCTCCATGGCACTGGACTTGGCAATAAAGATGGGATTCAGCTTTGCATGTGTTAACTTGATAATAATTGACTCCTCCAGCAACTTGTTCTCATCTAGGATCTTTTGCCTCCTCTGGAGTCCATATACTTTGGCCTTAGGTGTCACGTCATGTTTAAAGGAAACCTTGTTTTTCAGCTTGTTTTGGACCCAGGGGTCAACTGAGGCCAACAGAATTAAAGTTTCTTGTAGCTGCATTGAAATAAAGGGCCTGTGACAGGCTCACTACAACCAAGGCTCTGAGGGGGCCCTCAGAGAAGGGGAGTTTTAGCTACAGTCCACTATGTCTCCAAGGAATAAGCCAAAGAACACACTCCTCCCTCCTTACAGGGAACAAGTGGTGAAGGTAGGTGGGGAATGGTTGGGTCTTGGAGGAAGGGTCAAGGAGAGGAAGGTGGGTAGCAATGTCTTACATGCTTCTTCACGGTTTGGTCTGTTTCCATATCCAACAGGTCCAGAAGCAAGTAGAACACACGCTGGCTGCGGATCCCCAGGACACCCTGGCAGAGGCCGAGAGAGTTCCTGAGTAGCCACAGCCTAGAAAGATGCTCTGTCGCTGCGCATTCTCATGCCAGTTCTCATGTGATGCCCACTAGCCTAATGAGAGGGGAGATAGGACTTCCTAGCTGGGATACCCCTTTCCTTTACCTTTTGAGGCCATTGCATGGAATGCCCATACACATTATTCACCAGCAAGAGGCAAGACAGTTTCTCTGCTATCTTTTGTGTTTGTTTTATTGTTTGGGCCACACCCAGCAGTGCTCAGGGATCACTCCTGGTGTGGCTTAGGCCACATGGGTACTGGGGCCCAAACCCAGGCAAGTGCTTTACCTCTTGGCTCTTGACTCTCTACCTCCTGGCTCCAGTTCCTGTGCTATCTTAAACAACCTCTATTTACCCATCTGTCCTTCAGCCCTTCCCCGTATAATCCTGATGTAAAGGTTGCTTTGAATTCTTGGACTGGAATTCTAAAATAAGCAAACAAATTGTATCCTGAAACTCTACAGTTGTTTCTCTTCCTGTGCCCTCCCTTCTGTAGCACCTACTTCTTACACCAGTTCCATCTGGTGAGGGAAGCAGAGCTGACCTTACCAAAGAGATGATTGCTTCCAAGCGGACAGCAGGGTCTTTGTGCTGCAGTTGCCTGAGGAGAGGAGAGTGTGTAGGGGTTCAGTGAATGGGGAGATAAAGGATGGCAGATAGTTTCTTAACAGCTCAGTGAATTTGGGTAGTTGATGTCTGGTGCTAAAACTTTAATCATTTCCCCATCTGGTTTTTAGTCTGGAAAGGGACTTGGAGGTACCCATTGATAATTGTCTCTCCCAAACTTTTGTCAGTCCCTTTCATGGCTCGTTTTATTTTGGGGGGGACTGGGAGGGTGGGTGGCACACCTGCTGTTGCCCAGGGGTTACTCCTGGCTGCATTCAGAAATCACTCCTGGCTTTGCTCGGGGGACTACTATTGCTCTGGCTTCTCACGGCTCATCTTAAATTGAACTTCAGAGCAACCTCAAGAGGTTGGCACTATGAATTCCTTTTTATGAATAAAGAAAAGCCTGGGTTTTTTTCTTTACCTCCTCCCTGCCCCGCATATATATATATATATATATATATATATATATATATATATATATATCCCATTTTGGAAGACCATATGGGATGGATGCTGGGGATCAAACCTGGGTCAGTTGCATGCAAGGCAAATGCTCTACCCACCGTACTATTGTTCTGGGCCCCTGTGTACCCATACGCTTTAAGATTTGAGTTTTGGAAGGTTGGAGGCTACATTTGGCAGTACTTGGGCCTTACTCCTGGTTGTACTCAGGAATCACTCTTGGCAGGGTTCAGAGGACAATATGGGGTACTGGGTATTGAACCTTGGGCATGTTGCATGCAAGATAAGGACCCTACCCTATCTCTTGAGCCCCTAGCCCTGCGAGGATCAGAAAGCTCTGAACTCCAAGATACTCACGGCTCCATCAAGTTCAGCATTGCTGGCCTCATCTTTAACTCTTCTGCTGTTTCAGCTGCAGTCTGTCTCATAATCTAAAGAGAGATCAAGGTGTGAACATAGGAATGTTGGGATGGCCCCTTAAGTCCTTCACCTTTTCCAAGTATTTATGAGGGTTAGTACCTAAGGCTATTGGCTTCAGAACTAATGGTTTGGTAGGAGACAAGGGAATAGACCACAAAAGTTTTTTTAAGTTGCCCAGGAAGTAAGTGTGAGTGCACATGGGAGAGGTTCCTCATTCAGAGTGGGTACCTGGACCATGGCCTGGAGGAAATGATACCACTTCTGAAAGCTAAGATGTTAGGTGGGACTAACGTAGCAGAGGACTGAGGGGGGAGTTGGAAGCAAAAGAGGCCAGAAAGACTGGGCAGCAGAGTTCTGTTTTGCTTGGTGATCAAAATGGTACTCTTGCAAGTGGGACCCTGAGTGATTACCAGGGACACGTGTCAGTCAGGACAGGCTTGTGTTAAGCACAGATGGTGGGGGCTCAGAAGGAGAGTGGGGAGAGATGAAACAGGTGAGGAATGGACCTTGTGAGGCCTTGGGGACGGGCACCTCTGTAAAGTTCTACAGAGAATCCTCGGAGAAACACAACCTGATTGTCATAGAAAAATATCTCTGATTAAGAAAAATATCAGTGACTAGTTCTGTGACAAGCTATAATACAGAGCAAAGTAGTGGGGCACAGGAATTTGGGGTGCATTATGCCTTTAATGATTTGGGAAAGCTCCCCATAGAAGGTGTCCTTTGGACTGGTCTTGAGGGTGCAATGGTGGGGTGTTTTTGTTTGTTTTTTGCTTTTTGCCATGTAGGGAATTGATCCCAGCTCCTCCTGGAGCACTCTGCCATGGAGCCATCATGCTTGATGGGCTGGAGAGTGGGGAGCTAATTTAGGACTGTTTTAACCCTGCAGAGGAGATGGGGATAGTATTGAGTGTCAAGGCAAAGGGAGCTCAAAAATACTAGCTGCTTGTGGAGTTTAACCAGTATTTTTTATATATCCTGGATATCAACCCCTTTTCAGATGTGTATTCGGCGAATATCCTTTCCCATTCTGTAGGCTGTCTTTGTATTTTGGTCATTGTTTCTTTGGAGGTGCAGAAGCTTCTTAGTTTAAGATAGTCACATTTATCTATCTCTGTTTTCACTTGCTCGGCCAGTGGTGTGGCATCTTTGAAGATACCAGAAAACATCCAACCCCATCCAAAAATGGGGCAATGAAATGAACAGAAACTTTCTCAAAGAAGAAATCCAAATGGCAAAAAAGCACATGAGAAAATGCTCTACATCATTAATCATCAGGGAGATGCAGATCAAAACCACAATGAGATACCATCTCACACCTCAGAGACTGGCCCACATTCAAAAGAACAAAAGCAACCGATGCTGGCATGGATGTGGCGAGAAAGGGACACTCCTTCACTGTTGGTGGGAATGTTGATTGGTTCAGCCCTTCTGGAAAACAGTATGGACGATTCTCAAAAAATTAGAAATTGAGCTCCCATTTGACCCAGCAATTCCACTCCTGGGAATATATCCCAGAGAGGCAAAAATGTATAATCGAAGTGACATCTGCACTTGTTTGTTCATTGCAGCACTCTTTACAATAGCCAGAAACTGGAAGAAACCTGAATGCCCAAGAACAGATGACTGGTTAAAGAAACTTTGGTACATCTACACAATGAAGTACTATGTAGCTGTTAGAAAGGATGAGGTCATGAAATTTACATACAAGTGGTACAACATGGAAAGTATCATGCTAAGCGAAATGAGTCAGAAAGAGAGGGATAGACATAGAAAGATTGCATTCATCGGGGGGATATAAAGTAACAAAATATGAGATTAATACCCAAGAATAGCTGAGATCAGCACCAGGAGGATTACTCCATAGCTTAGTGGCCAGCCGGGCATTCTGGAGGAAAGGGCAGCTCAGATAGAGAAGGGAGCACCAAATAAAGGGTGTTTGGAGGATCCTCCCAGGAGGGGAGATGCATGTCGAAAGTAGACTATGGACTGAACATGTTTGCCACTCAATGCCTCTTTTGCAGACCACAACACCCAAAAGGAGAGAGAGAACACAGGGGATTGCCCTGCCACAGAGGCCATGGGGGGATGGGGGTGGGGGGGATATTACCCATGGTGGTGGAAAATGGGCACTGGTGGAGGGATGGGTATCTGATCATTGTATAATCGAAACCCAAGCACAAAAATTGTAAATCTACAACTGTACCTCATGGTGTTTCACTAATAAAAAAAAAAGTAAAAAAAAAAACCACTCATCACTGAGTGTCAGAGAAATGCAAATCAAAAAAAAAAAATACTAGCTGTGTGAGGGGAATAGAAAATGGGTTAGGGTGAAGGTGGTTCTTTGGGAGACAGGATGTGGGGATCATTATGCCAGGGAGATCCTCCAACAGGGAGAGGAATTTGGAATTCCTGGGCTGTTACTTACCAGGAATGGTTCATCGTGTGTCTTCTTCATGAGCATGTTAAATGTGAGTCTCTCTAGGCCCTGGGCCTGGATCTGTTCCAGCCCAATTGTCTTGAGCATGTGGGCAGCTTTGATGCGGTGCTGAGGACCAGAGAGGTGAGACCTGCAGGATAGACTTGTCTTTCTCATCCCCCAGTCCACCCCAATGCTGGAGAATGCAGCCCCAGAACGTACCTCGAGGACAGCAGAATGGTTCATCTGGTCTAGGATGGCCCTGGTGATCACTTCTGACTTCACCTTCAGTCTCTGCACCAGCATCTGGAGCGCCTGTGGGGGCAGGGAGGCAGGCAGGGAGGCCAGGACTGAGAGACAGGGTATGACCAGGCCAACTTGAGGGCCGAACTTAGCTTTCCTAGTAATAGACCTTCCTTCTGCCTCTCGGTCTGTATGTGAGAGCACAGGTTCATATTTACACATTGGTGCACCCAGACCAATCTCATTCCCAGAATAACATCTTCTCAATGTCCACATGACCTCAGGCACATGTATCCTCATGAGCACTCAGGGCCCCACAGTGCTCCCCGAGGATGCTGCTGCTTTCAGGGAGGAGAATAACAGGTCCAGACCCCAACCGCCTCAGCCCTGGCCTTTGTTTCCCCTGTGCTCCCAGGGACCCGTTTCCCAGCCCGCCCACCTTCATCTTGGTCTTGGGGTCCTGCTCTAGACACTCCAGCAGGAACTCTTGCACCAGACTGCTGCAAGGCCTCAGGAACCCCAGGCACAAGCCAGCCTCCAAGGCCTCCTCGCCCGAAAGTCTCTTGACCAAGTTCTGTAGCACAGACACCAGCTTGTCTTCATCCCACACTTGATACCTCTGGGGGGAGATGGAAGAAGAAACTGCTGGGGAATAATCTTGAGTGGAGCTTGGTGGGGCAATTCATGGCTGTTTCCAGACTCCATGCCGAATTATTCCAGTTCCTTTTATTTTTGCTGCTACTTTGATTTCCTCCTACTCATATCCCCTCATTTCTCTGAATTGATTTTCTGGACGGATCATTATCACTCTTGAGCACTCCTGCTATTATTATTATTATTATTTTGGTAAACAGTCATTTATTTGGATTCATGGTTTTACAAAGGCCATTTTCCCCCACACTGTATTAGTACCAGATTGTTAACTGATAGTTAACTCAGACTTTTATAGGGAAACTTGTTTACACATATAGTATATGACTTTAAAGACTGTAAAGATAACCCCCCCCCCCAAAAAAAAACCCCAAAAAACTATCATTATAATTTTCTTCCCATCTTTCCTGGATTCAGATTTGTCTTACTGCTCAAACTGATGTGTGAAATCTGTCTAAAGGGACTGAGGAAGATTATATACAACCAAGAGATAAAAACACCCAAAAGGGGGCTGGAGCGATAGCACAACGGGTAGGATGTTTACCTTGCACGCGGCTGGCCCGGGTTCAATTCCCAACATCCCATATGGTCCCCTGAGCACTGCCAGTAGTAATTCCTGAGTGCAGAGCCAGGAGCAACCCCTGAGTATCACTGGGTGTGACCCAAAAAGCAAAAACAAAAAAACCCAAAGGGCAAGAGAGGTAGCTAGTGCATATTCTTTTCATGCATGAAGCCTGATTGGAATTCTAGGACTACACGATCCCTAGAACTTTGCTAGGAGCAACCTCTAAGCAACAAAGTAGGAATATCCCTTCACCCCCAGGTGTGGCATAAAAACAGAAGCAATGTCTTTCAGCTATTTGAAAGAACAAAGAGGCTCTAGGCAAGCTGAGTAATGTTTTTCAGTGGAGAGATGGTGGTCCTACTTATTATCCCTACCTGTGATAAAAGGAATTTACCAGCCATCCATTCTTTTTTTTTCCTATGAAAGGCATGATGTCAATAGCTGTTTCCACTAGTGCTACAGCCTTAATTGCCACAAATAAAATGCTCAATAATGACAGCTTCACTGCTATGCCTCCCTTCCCACCCACACCAAAATATTTCCCTCTCTCAATTGTGCAAGATGAATTCACAACCAGCTCTTTCTAAAGACATTCAGATATAGTGCCTGATAATGTGACTGCCTTCAGAATCCTGGGTAAAAAGAAAATGGGGCTGAAGGCTTAAATGCATGGCTCTAGCTTGGCGCTTAGCCCCAGGGCTGTTAGAAAACTGTTCTAATAGCCTGTTGATTCCAGTTCTTGGTGACCTCTTGAAAAGGAGATCTAGAGTTGTGAGCAATGACCTGTACCAGATTTCTGTAGTTAGCTCAGACTTTTATAGGAATAGCTGTTTAAACGTATAGAATATGACTTAAAAGTACATAAAGATACCATAAAAATACGCTCCCCCCCAAGGTGTTTTCTCCACTCCAGGAATCCCTGTATGTTCTTTTTCCCTTTCCTTTTTGGGTCATACCCAGTGATGCTCAGGGGTTATTCCTGGCTCTGTGCTCAGGAATCACTCCTGGCAGTGCTGGGGTGGGGTGGGGGGGAATCATATGGGATGCTGGGAGTCAAACTTGGGTTGGCTGTGCAAGACAAATTTGCCCTACCCTTTGTGCTATCGCTCCAGCCCCTCCCTGCCTATTTTCTTTAGCAGACAATCTTTCCAAGTTAGTCTTATCCAAAGGCTGTTGGCTCTTACTTCCAAGAGGTTTCATGTCTCTCAACACCCTGACAGTTGTTTTTCTTAGACCCAGGAAGCCATTTCCTTTTCCAGGAAGAATCCTCTTCCTCCTCTTGGTTCCGTGAGCAAGAACTTTACAAATCATGAGTGAATGGACAAGCCAGTGAGGCTTGACTCTCCCCGTCCGAGACTAAGGTGTCAGGCTGCAATGCAGATGGTACAGTCCAAACTGGGTTTCTGTTCTATGACAGCCAGCCTGGAAGCAGTGAGAAAGTCCAACTTCCTGGGTGTCTGCAGGGATTGAAGTGGCTGAAGGAGTGTAATGCAGTCATCCTCCATGACCTGTCTGGTTGGGTCATCTTCTTTAAAGTCTTCTTTTGACATCCTCTTTAGACTCTCAGTCTGATTCTCTGTCACTTGAAGTGTTTCCACAAGAAACACTTCTCTTGTCACCTCTACTTGTCTTTCCTGGATTTCCTGCAATGTGAAGAAGGAAGTGATGCTGGTCTGCTGAATACCTGCAGATGAAGTTTTTCTTTGAGTAAAAGAAATTTTAGTTTTCCTCTCTCCAGCAAAGAGTGTTAGCAGTTTGGTGTTGTGATTAAATGTGTCTGCACTTCTGTCCCTTCAGTGCTGCTGTGTCCAGCCACAATCCTGAAGGCCTCCTCCTCATGGTTTCTGTGTCTTATGGCCCCTGAGGGGCCTGAGCCAGCTGCATACAGGTGAGTGCACCTGGCATCTCAGGGAAAGGCCACAGTGCCAGCACCAAGGTTCACTCCTACTATTTTAATCCCTGGCATTAAATAATACATGGTACCAGATTAAAAATACATAGGGTTGGGACTGGAACGATAGCACCACAGGTAGGGCGTTTGCCTTGCACGCGGCCACCCCGAGTTTCATTCCCAGCATCCCATATGGTCCCCTGAGCATCACCAGGAGTAATTCCTGAGTGCAGATCCAGGAATAACACCTGGCACAGGTGTGACCCCCCCAAAACAACAACAACAACAACAAAAAAAAAACATAGGGTCAGATTGAAGAAATTATAGGGCTGGGTGTGACCTTAAAGAAATAGTAAAAAAAAGTTCCAGACTAATAACTGCCAGTTCCCAGCTTTACCCAAGATTCCTTTTTACTTGTTGCTGTTTCTATTTGTTAACTGTGTTTTGTTTTTATTTGTTTGGGGTCCACACCCAGTAGTACTTAGGACTTACTTGGTTCTGTGCTTAAGGATCACTCCTGGGGTTGCTCAGGGAACCATTTGTGGTGCCGGGTATTGAACCCAGGTCAGCTGCATGCAAGGCAAGCAACCTGTCTCCCTACTTGCAGGCTTGATATCATCTCTCACCTACTCAGGGATGCTGCCATGTGCTCTTCCTGCTCTCTTCAAAATTGGTTTTCCTAACCACTGGATTCCTATTCCTCAGCACAGAAACATGTTTGGTTTTTTTTTTTTTCCTAGAATCTACCCATAATGCCAGTTATAATCCTTTCCAGCAAAACTTGGGAATTGCCCACACTGACGAGTTCTAATTTTTTACTCAGTCAAAGGAGGGGCTGGAGCATAGTACAGTAGGTAGGGCTCTTGCCTTGCACACAATCAACCTGGGTTTGATTGTTGGTACCCTATATGGTCCCCAGAACCCTCCAGAATTGAACCCTGAATGTAGAGCCAGAACTACATCCTGCTGGGTGTGGCCCCCAAAACAAAAACAGACGAAAAACAGTCAAAGGCTCCATATTGTTAAATCTGTGTATCAATTTCAGACCTTGATTGTCTTCTGATGTATTACTTCTCCACATTTATAGATTATTACTCTTCTCCAAGGCATTGTTTTGGAGGCAAAATCAAACAAAAAAGACTTGGCTTCATCATTTTTTCTCTCTTTTATAGCTCACATTCAGCTGATCAGAATCTTACTGTGCAAGTATTCCCAGCTGGAGAGAGAGTTCAGGGGTTAAGGCACATGGTCTTGCACATGGCTGACCCCGGTTCTATTCCCAAGGAACTTGGACAGTGTCAGGCCCCTAATGGATGTTTCTACTGGTTGAAGACATGAACACATAAGGCCACTTTCACATGGGACAGTGATGGGATCAACATAAGAGGACCCTAAAAGGGATGGAACTTCAAAAGCAATGTCATCACACTCGGTTCCTGTGCTCTCTTAACAAGCATACTTTAGGGCTGTTAATGCTCCCATTTGCAGAGCAGGGGCGTCAGTGGGGTACCAGGGGTGCGTGATATTTGACTTCTGCCATGCTCTGTGATCACTATCTCCTTTGTAGAGAGGGTCAGACTGCCGCTCTAACAGCTGTCTTTCAGAGGCTGGCTGACAGTAAGTGGCAGCAAAAATGTTGCTTCTACTCAGGGTTACCCCCTACCCCAAGGGAACCTTCAGGTCTTTCCCCATCAAGGCTGAGAGCTTAGGTTACCTTGGTCCTGACCTAACATGCCCCAACTCATCTCACATACACTGTCAGTTCCTCATCCTCCTGTGCCCCAGTTCGTGACTTCAAATCACCTTGTCTTTGGGGGCAGAGCTCCAGAAGTTGAGAGCCACACGTAACCCTCTGAGTGTGTCCAGCCTTCGCAACTTATTTTGCCCTTTGAGCTGCTTGATGAGTGTGTGGACCACAGTCTCATTCAGGCAACCTGGATGGAGAAGGCGCTCTAGTTAGAGCAGAGCTGCTGGCACTGCTTTTCTCTGCCAGATCCACTACACTTGGCTGCATCCACAAGAAGCAAGTCCCAAGGAGCCAGAGATACAGAACAGGTAAGGGCACTTGGCCGGCATACAGTCAAGCCAACTTGGATCCCTGGAAATTGAGTATGGTCCTCAGAACTGCCAAGGGTCATTCCTGGCACAGAGCCAGGGATAGCCATTGAGCACTCCAAGATATGGCCCAACTTCCCCGAAAAGAGGAGACTGCCCCCCAAAGAGCCCCCCAAAAGACACAAATTCCTAGGTTCCAAGTGTGTTGTCCAATGTTCCAGGACCCCAGAGCAATCCCAGCAGCTCTGCTCTAAGTCAGGTTCTCCATTCAGGTTATCTGAATGAGACTGCCCATATGCTCATCAAGCTGCTCAAAGGGCAAAATGAGTTGCAAAGGCTGGACACACACAGAGGGTTCCGTGTGGAGTGAAGCATGGCCACTGTTTTGGGAATGTTCCTCTGTGTCCTTCTGCCCTTTGCTCCTTTCCCATCTCTCCTTCCTCTCTCTGTCGAAAGAGGCCTGAGAGAATGGCCACACCCTGCTCAGGCTCTGCAGGAGGATGCTCTGCTCTTTCAGTCCTTCCTCCTCCCCGTCCCCTGATCTGCTGTCCCCGGTAGAGGATGGACTCACCCAGGATAGCCAGGCTTCGACACGATTCGAACTTCACTCTCTCTGGGCCGGTGTGGGCCTGAGGTATGAGTAGATGGTAGAATAAGATCAAAACATGAAGGATGGTCAGTACTTTCAGGAACAGCTCAGCACAGCTTTTTATTTTACAAAGAGGAAGCAAGGGCCTGGTGAGGACTGGCCTGTGCTCAAACACGGGAGAGAGGCAGACAGCTGAGTGAAGGAACAGCCGGTGAGAGTCAGACTTTGACTCAAGTCCTTGGGGCAAGTCTTCTTGCCTCTCAGGTCACATTTTCTTGAGAAGCAGAAAATATCTAGTCCCCGTTGTGAGATTAAGTGAGTTGGAATGTGCCTGACATGGACATGTATCGATTACATCATGGATTTGGGCACTGTAGGGCAGGAACTATAGGTCCGCCTCTTTATTGCTGGCTTTCCAGCCCAGTGTATTTCTTAGGTCACAGATATCTTTAGTTTTTTTTTGGGGGGGGGCACACCCGGTGATACTCCTGGCTATGAGTTCAGGGATCACTCCTGGAGGTGCTTGGAGGACCATATGGGATGCCAAGGATTGAACTCAGGTAGCCCTATGGAAGGCAAGTACCCTACCCGCGATACTATAGCTCCAACACCAGACCACAGATATCTTTAGGCTCTCTCTTCCCTACCCTTTGGACCTGGTGGTCTTTTTTCTGGTTGTATTTATTTGGGAGCTTGTTCCCAGCAGTGCTCAGGAGCCATTCCTGAACACCACATGTGGAATTGAACTAACATGGGCAGTAATGCAAGACAAGTGCTTAACCCCTGTACGATCTCACTCGTCTGGATTCAGCGATCCTCTAAAGGGTGCCAATGGTCTGAAAAGAGACTCTTCTCACTGGATCTGATCATTTGTCCTTGAACCCCAGGGACCTGTGTGGGCCCAGGTGCCAGGCTCTCCACCCCTCCAACCCTGTTATCCCTTGAACTCTAAGCTGCCCAGACTCACCGCCCAAAGCAGAGCTTCCACGATAAACTGGTCTCTGATGCCCAGACACCCCAGAGCCTATAGGAATGAGGGAGAGGGGAGAGAAGAAGGGAGAAACTACCTACTGCTGCCAGGAGTGACCCTCTGGGGACAGTGGGGGTGGAATCCTCCCCTCCCATAGCCCAGCTCTCTCACCTGCCCTCACTCCTCACCTGGGCTGCGTAGTGCTGCTCATCCTCGAGGGGCGAGGTCAGGCTTTGGGTGAGTTCCTGCCCATAAGGCAGCCAGCAGGAGGGAAGGAAGGGGACAAAGGAGCTGGGGAACAATCAGAAAGGAGCTTCCCCCATTCCCTCTCGGTCCCCATGGCAGGCAGGGGCAAGATAGGGACTGTGGCAGGCCAGAGCATCACAGGGACAGGCTCTCCCCACCCTCCCTGCACCACTGACCATATTTAGAAGTTACTCCTGGCTCTGCACTCAGGAATTGCTCCTGCTCAGGGGACCATATGGGATGCCGGGGATTGAACCTGGGTCGGCTGCGTGCAAGGCAAACACCTTCCCCGCTGTCCTATTTCTCCAGTCCCTGACCTTTAATCTTTTCTGCTTCAGGGGATCCTCATCTCCTGAGAGCCTGAATCTCATGACGGGCAACTTTCTATGTGGAGATAAAATTTAGAGGAGGGGGAATCCTCTGTGAGGAACCTGTATGAGAAATGACATGGGCAGCCTTAATCCCCTTGTCCCCTCCCTTCCTCATGCCACAAACTCTCCCCTGTCCCTAGTTCTCCATCCAACTCAGAGAAGGGAGCAGAGAAAGACAGATGAAGGTTCAGAAGTATTTCCTCTGCCCCCCCACCTCCTAACTGTATCCCTTTGGACCCAGGGTCCTCTCAGATCCATAGGCTGACAGGTCCCCCCAACCATTTCCTCTTCTCTGCCAGGGCACAGAGAATGATCAGGGTACAGAGCACACCTGGGGTAATCTCTCATTTTCCAAAGCATCTTGCTGGTCTTTTGGTCCTTGGCGTACATATTGTACCAATCGATGTAGCGCTCTGTTGTGTGGTCATAGCAGTAAGGCACTGCTCCAGGCTCGTTGGGAAGTTTCCGCCAGCGCTCTGGACTTGGGGGGAACTCTTCCATTTTCGGCTGTTGGGGGTGTGAGGCTACAGTCAGTGCTATCAGAAAAAGGACTGGGGTGAAGGGGCCATGTGACTGCGGGAGAGAGGCCCTTTGTCTTCTCATCTGGGCTCTGTTCCTGCTCCCTGTCATCCCCTGCATGGCCTGGCCTGGGTGTGGGACTTCACTTGCACACATGGAAGAGATAATGGCCCTTTGTCTTTACTCCTGCCAATGTGGCTGTAGGGAAACAACTCCATCAAGTGCTTAGTGATCTGTAAGTGGATCTGAGTTCAGTTTGGTGGGTGGATATCAAAGCCCTTTGAAAATGTCCTCTAGGCATTTGAAGGAGAAGTAAGATCAGGGGTAAGGCCACTGGCAATACTCACCACCACTCCCAGCAATGCAGAGGCAAGTGTGGAAATGTTCATTCAATCAAGCTAGCTATAGGTACTCAGTGGGTACCTATTATGTCCTAAGCACTGTGCAAGGTACTGTGGATGCTGTTATTGTCCTGCTCTTTGGAATTGAAGAGGTTTTGTTGGAAAACTTTTTTTCAAGTAAACTTTTATTTATTTATATAATTTATTAATTAATTTTTGGGGGAATCACTTCTGGCAGTACTCAGGACTTACTCCTATCTGAATTAAGAATCATTCTTGGTGATGCCTGGGGGGCCATATGTGGTGCCAGGGATTGAACCCTGGTTGGCTATGCACAAGGAAAATGCCCTACCTGCTGTGTTAGCACTCTACCACCAAGTAACCTTTTATTTTTAAAAAAATATTTAATTTATTATTATTAATATATATGTTTTTGTTTTTGGGTCATCCACCTGGCAATACTCAGAGGTTACTTCTGGCTCTACACTTAGGAATTCATCCTTGCAGTGCTTGGGGGGGGCACCATACGGGAGGCCCGTAATTGAACCTGGGTTGACCGCATACAATGTAAGTGACCTATCCTCTGTAGAATCTCTCCAGCTCAAGCAATCATTTAAATCTTAAACTTTTTCCACTCATGGTCCCTTTTAGCTAAGAAAATTTTATATAATCTCAAGTCTATAAAAATAGGAATGCAACTCAAACATTTACTGACAATTATTTATTTTCAAACAAATTATAGTCCACAGTTGAAGCAGCTTCAATAATCATAAAACTGAAACTCTGACTAGTAGAGAGGGCCAGGAGCTCTCATTAAAGATCTGACTTGGCAGGGCTGGAGAGATGGCACAGCAGGTAGGGTGTTTGCCTTGCATGCAGCCGACCCGGGTTCAATTCCCAGCATCCCATATGGTCCCCTGAGCACCGCCAGGGGTAATTCCTAAGTGCAGAGCCAGGAGTGACCCCTGTGCATTGCCGGGTGTGACCCAAAAAGCAAAATAAATAAAATAAATAAATTACATTAAAAAGAAAGATCTGACTTGGCATCTGCCCTGTCTCTTCAGTCCAGCCATTCTCTATTTACACATTTTTCTCTGGGTCACAAGAAAGAGGCACTTCAGGACAAGAGAGATAGTACAGCAAATACTGCTTTTGTCTTGTACACAGTCGACCCCGGTTCAATCCTCAGACCACATACTGTCCCCCAACTACAGCCAGGAGTGACCCTTGAGCACAGTGACAGCAATAAGTCCTGAACACTACCAGGTATGGCCCAATACATTCCCCCCCGCCAAAAAAAGAGGTACTTTAAACAGTGATCCCTAAGTAGGTGACTGAGAAGGTCATTATAAGAGTTTTCAAGAGATTATCATGTTTTCAGGAAACAGAGCACAGACTTACAATGAGTAGGACCATCAGATATAGCCCACATCAAACAAAAATTAGGATGTCCAGTTAAATGTGGATAGCAGACAATAAGTGTAATGTTTGAGACACATGTATATTAAAATAATTAATTCATCATTGGAAATTCAGATTTAACTAGGCAGCCTGTATTTTATGTGACAATTTTCACTATTGGAGCCCTGTACCAAAGCATAACAATGATTCTCATTACTGGGCACCACCAGCCCAGCTAAGGTCTACCTGGTGTTAGTCATATGGGGCAGGGTTGACTGTGGCACTGGAAAGTCTGAGGCTCAGAAAGGGCAAGTTCATTTGCCTTGCACCTGGCTGACCCAAGTTGAATCCTTGGCATCCCATATGGTACACCAAGCACCGCCAGGAGTAATTCCTGAGCAAAGAGCCAGGAGTAACCCCTGAAGCATTGGTGGGTGTGACAAATAGAAAGAAAGAAAGAAAGAAAGAAAGAGAGAAAGGAAGGAAGGAAGGAAGGAAGGAAGGAAGGAAGGAAGAAAAAGGGCAAGTGGCTTGTCCAGGTCACACAGTGTTAATGGTGACCCCAGGGCTAGGGAGGGGCATGTAAGGGTTCTTAAAGCAACAGGATGGTGTGTGGCTCCCCTTCCTTCAACAGAGCTCCCAGGGTGACCAAAGTCAGGGATCTTACCTGGTAGCGGAAGCAGGGTAGTTGAACTGGCGCCTTGGCTTTTCTGAGCTCTGCAGTACAAAGGAAACAAGGCTCGGAGAGGAGGCTTGAAGGATCACGCATGTTAGCTTTCATTTGTTGAGCATTTAGTGAAGCCTTGTCCTGGGGGCTAAGGTAAGCCTCACTCCATGGAATGGGGAGAGCTCTGTGGCTTCCTGGTCTGGGGCACAGCAGCGGTGCCATAGCCTGAGAGAGTCTCAGAAATGTAGAATCTCAGGTGCCACCTGGGAACTCCTGAGTCGGGGTCTTCATTAGAAGACTTGTGCAATGCAGACTGAAGTTTGAGAAACACGCTCTCACAGAGTTTGCTTCTGAACCGTTGCTGCTTATTAGGATGATTTGTGAGGAACTTCTGACAACTTCATCATACAAATGGAATCGAATTATTCAGGATCTAGGCTTTAAAAACACTCCCGAGAGGTTGCTAATATGCAGCTTCTGGTGAAAACTATGGGTCAAGCTCCGTGGGTTTTTTTTTTTTGGGGGGGGGGGTCACACCTAGCGATGCTTAGGGGTTACTCCTACACCTGGCTTTGCACTCAGGAATTACTCCTGACGGTGCTCTGGGGACCATAGGGGATGCTGGGAATCGAACCCGGGTCGGCCGGGTACAAGGCAAATGCCCTACCCGCTATGCTATCACTCCAGCCCCCAAACTCCGTGCTTCTAAAACATGCACCTTCAGCTTCAAATTCCCAGGAGAACCTGTTAAAACATTCATTTCCTAACAAGCATGGGAAACAGATGGCTATTAGGCAGAGATGGGACAGACGAGGGACCCTTACGTGCTTGGAGGCTCAGGAAGACTTCCTGGGGGAGACGGTGTAAAAGTGAGTCTTACCTAAAGATCCAGCAGGGGAAGGGGAACGCGACGCCCTAGGGCAGAGCCGGGCGCCTCGTGGGAGCAGAGGCAGAGGCGTTATGCCGAAATCGCACCCTAGAGGGCGCTGAAGACTTCCCTTGAGGGCCGTGGCGAGGCGCGGAGGGTCATGTGGCGGCCCTGTACTGTGACGGACTTACTGATCACGCCCTTCTGTGACCAGGAATTCTTGTAGCTTTCCTTTTCTGGGTCAATGCCCTTGACCCCTCCCGGTACATTCCCGTCTCACCTCTGGTTCTTTCTGGATAGTCCAGCCACGGATAATTGACCATTGACCTGGAGAAGTCAAAAGCCTCAAGTCTTGTTTCAAACGCCATGGTCGGGAATCAGGGAGAGAGCACAGGGGTGCAGAGATGTGGGGCCGGCCTGGGGGCGACCTTTTCTGGGCAGTACAGGAGGGACCAGACGCTCCGAAGTACAGAGCAACCAGATCTCCTAGGAAACAGAACCCTTCGGTTCCAGCCTGCACAGGGATCAGGCCTCTGTGAGCCTGTGGCCTTCCCTAGTTTAATTTCTGGGGGACCCTCCAAAAGTGGTGGTCACGGGACCGGAGAGATAGTGCAATGGGTTAGGCATTGCACACAGCTGACCTGGATTCGATCCGTGGCATCCTTTGTGGTCTCCCCCCTTGAGCACCCCTGAGTGCAGAGCCAGAAATAACCCCTGAATATCACCACCAGGGTGTGGCCCCAAACCAAAAAAAGTGGCGGTCAGGAAGTCCCCTGGTGCCTCTCCTGGTGATACTCAACCAGCTGAGTTGTCTATTAGGTGCTGGGACTGCAGTGCAGGACCAGTGGGTGAAGCTGGGACTGGGTGGGGCTGTGCCCGTTAATGAGTCACTTTTTCTTTATGAGCTTGAGTTTCTTCGTAGGAAAGTCCTGTCTACCGACCCAAGGGGAGAGTCTTGTTCTTCTACCAGAGTGGATAAGCCACTAGCTGGGGAGGCTAAATTAGTAAAGAAAATTAAGCCTTCGCTAAAGAAGCGGTTTTCAGGATTCCTCAGGAAAATGATTCATCAGGCGGGAAAGCCTCCTTAATGTGAAAGACTGACCAGAGCAAGACAATGCCTGGATGGGAAGAAACTGCCCTGTAGACTTTCTGTGGCAGACACTGACAAGTCTTTCCTTTATGTGGGTTTCTCATTTTCTTTTTTTTTCTGGGGCCATACCTGATGGTTTTCAGGACCTGCTCCTGGGTCTGTTCTCAGGTTCATTCCTGTTCAGGGGACTATATGTGCTACTGGGGACTGAATCCAGGTCAGCTACATGCAAGGCAAGTGCCTTACCCACTGTTCTATTTCTCTGGCCCCTTTCCAATTTTTCAAACATCATTTGAAAGTTATCTTGGGGATCTGGAGAGAAAGCACAGCGGGTAAGACTCTTGCCTTGCATGAAACTTACCTGGGTTCAAAGGTTTTGGGTGTACAAAGTGGTATCCCATGGTCATTGTATTCAAGTGCAGGGAAAAATATGCCAAAAGTATGTACACACATGTACATGCATAGGCACATAAAGCAAATGTGGTAAAATGTTAACTTTATTATTGTTTATTTATTTATTTATTTATTTATTTATTTTGACCATACCTGACTGTATTCAGGACTTACTCTGGGGTCTGTTTCTAGGGATCACTCCTGGCAAGGCTCTGGGAACCAGATGTAGTTCTGGGGATCAAACCCAGGTTGGCTGTGTGCAATGCAAATGCCCTGCCTACTGTACTGTACATCTCTGTGGCTCCAGATGTTCACTATTTGAATCTAGATGAAAAATAATAGACTATTTTCAAATAGTCTTTGAAAATTTGCAAATAAATGCTCTGTGTGTGTGTGTGTGTGTGTGTGTGTGTGTGTGTGTGTGTGAAGACTTTGAATCTGGTGGATCTGAATCTTAATTGTCAACTGTACTCTGCCTTCCCCAATATATGTATTTTTTGCCCCACCAGGCAGTTCTCAGTGCTTCCTCCTGGATATGAACTCAGGAATCACTCCTGGAGGGCTCAGGGTAAAACATGGGATGCTAGACATTGAACCAGGCTTGGCTGAATGCAAGGCAAGTGCCCTACCTGCTGTACTCTCTCTCTCTCTGACCCTTTCCTCTACTTCTTTGCTATAAGATTTTGGGAAAGTTGTTTTTCTCTTTTGCCAAGGATTTCCCAATTGTAAGTAGATTTAAAAATTCTACCTATAGGATATACTCAAGAATAAAGTGCATGCCTTGTTGCATGTGACCTGGATTTAAGCCCTGGCGCTGCAGAAAAAAAAAATAAAAATGAAACCTAATATTGCTCCTAAGTTTGTGAGGATGTAGGATGATGAGTGTAGAGAATTACAGCAAGTGCTCAGTTAATGCTGGTTAGTTATGACCAATTATATATTGTCATGCAGGGACATAGAGATGGAAAAGTTGGAATGTTTCCACTTCAAGGATGCTGGGACTTGAAGCTGGAGTAATAGTACAGTGGACAGGGTGCTTGCCTTGCATGTGCCTACCTGGGTTCAATTCCTGACATCCCATAGATTCTTCTATACCCAGGAGTAATTCCTGAGTGCAGAGCCAGGAGAACCCCCCTGAGCATGGTTGGTTGTGACCCAAAAACTTAAAAAAAAATTTAAACAAAGAATGCTGGGGTTGTCCTAGAAAACCACAAAAGGTCTTGTGTTAGGGCCGGAGAGATGGTACAGCAGGAAGGATACTTATCTTGCGGTGGTCAACCCAGGTTCAATCCCTCACACCCCATGTGATCCCCTGAGCCCCGCAAGGGATGATCCCTGAGAACAGAGCCAGGAGTAAGCCCTGAGCACCATCGGGTGTGGCCCCCCAAACAAAACCAAAGCAAAACAAAAAATATCTATGAAGCTCTATTGTCAACAACTTTGTAAATCATGGTATCTAAATAAAAAAGGGAAAAGAAAAGATCTTGCTCTGTTTGAAAGAACTAAGATCATTTGGGGCTTGCCATAAAAATTCCATTTCAGTGATGTTAAAGAACCCCGTGAAAATACAGAACAGTGGATATATGTGTTTGGGGTGATAACAGAGTGGGTAGAAGGGCCCCTGAAGGTCTGAGGAAGCAGTGGGTGGTGCAGTGGCAGGGAGAAAGAAACTTTTGGGGCCTTGGAGTGGGGTGACTTGTCCCAGAGTAACCTGCCTCCTTGCCTGTTCTGTCCTGCCCCGGCCCCTTCTCAGAACCCCTTCCTACAGCTGTGCTCAATGTGTGTCAGTGGCTGCTGACCAGGCTAGGGTGGGTGCCAGTGGGGTGCAAGCTCTGGCCCTGTGAGTTTAATGCTTGTGCAGGAGGAGGGTACCTGAGAGGGACATCACACCAGGAGCCAGCGCGGTAATTGTGTTGAACTTTATTGGCAAGCAAGAGCTCACACTTTCCAATCAGCCCCGACCAGCGAGGGATCTCAGTGAGAGCTTTGGTTTTATTGCTTTAATATAATGGCCCAGTTTTCTCTCCTTTGCCTCAAGAGGCAAAAGGTATGCTGAGGGCAGGGTCTAGGCCATGTAGAGGGCCTGGAGCCAGGGCCTTACTGCTTCAGGCAGAGCATGGGGTGCTGCTAGAGGGTTTCCTAGCTGCTGTTTAGGGTGGAAGCTGTGTCCAACAGGAGGAAGTATTGCTGATGGGGTAGTGGTGGTGGTTGCTGCTGCTGCTGCAGGAGAAGCCTCTCAGACTCTTCAGGAGAAAGAAGCAATGGAAGGGTGCATCCAAGTTCAGGTTCCAGGTGTCCTTTGTCCTAGTTCATCTCCATAGAGTTGATGTACTTCCGCACCCATCTGTCCTCTGGGTTGGCACACACCTGGCGTTTCTTTCGTGTGATAAAACTATGGGAGAGGAGAAGAGTGTGAGCATTGGAACAGACACTGGGAGGCTTATGGGGAAGTGGTGAAGGTGTTTGGGGGAGCTCGGAAGATTGTATTTGTGCCTCTTAAGGAAAAGATGCTGCCTCTTCTGGAGCATCCCAAGGGCTCTGAACCAGAAAAGACTTATGTGCACTTCAAGAAACACATGAGGTGCTGAAAGTAGACTATAGACCAAACATGATTGCCACTCAATGCCTCTATTGCAGACCACAGCACCCAAAAGGAGAGAGAGAGAACAAAAGGGAATACCCTGTCACAGAGGCAGGGTGGGATGTGGGGATGGGGGTGGGTGGGAGGGATACTGGGATCATTGGTGGTGGAGAATGTGCACTGGTGGAGGGATGGGTACTCAATCATTGTATAACTGAAACCCAAGCACAAAAACTTGGAAGTCTACAACTGTACCTCATGGTATTTCACTAATAAAAAATAAAAAAAAAAGAAACACATGAGGAGCTGGAGCAATAGCACAGCGGGTAGGGCGTTTCTTTATGTTCTGTAGGGCTTTATCATGAATAACTTTTCCCTGCCCCTTATTTCTTTTCTTTTCCCTTCCTTCCTTCCTTCCTTCCTTCCTTCCTTCCTTCCTTCCTTTCTTTCTTTCTTTCTTTCTTTCTTTCTTTCTTTCTTTCTTTCTTTCTTTCTTTATCGTGCCACACATGGCAAGTGCTCAGGGCTTAATCCTGACTCTGAACTCAGGGATCACTCCCAGTGGGACTCCGAGGACCATATGTGGTGCTAGGAATTGAACCTGGGTTGACTGCATTCAAGGCAAATGCCCTGCCCATACGCCCATACTACTATTGCCCAGAGCCCTCCTATGGGTAATGGTCACTTGCAGGAAGTTGCAGTCTCTTTTCCGAGACTCACCCTGAGCCCTCGACATTTCTCTTCCTCTTGCAGATGAGGCTTCTGAAGTTAGTTTCAGAGCCAACCTGCCCCTGTTCACAAAACAAACACAGGAAATCCTGCCACCCTCACTGTCCTCTCTCCTTGCTGGTGGCCAGGAAGTGAAAAGGTCAGGAAACCGACATTGGGATGAGGTTGCTCAGTCCAGCCCCACTTCTTCATCCTTGCAGAAGGCAATGCCGCAAAATGGCCCCACCTTGCTAAGTCTTCTCTTCCTGCCAGCGCTTTGCGAACTCTCTCCCTGACTCATTCTGCTCAGTGTCATGAGGAACATGCCCCAAGAAAGCACATGCGTCAAAACTTGCTGGCTTTTTCCTCTGACTTCCCTGTGGTCTGGGGTCCGGCACACAGTGGGCATTTAACTGATACTGAATGCATTGCATCCATGCAGCAAGTTTTACTTGTCACTTTTGGTGGAGGGTATGGGCCACATTCAGGAATGCTCAGGGGCTACTTGTGGCTCTGTGCTTAGGGGTCACTCCAGGCAGTGCTTAGGGACTATACATAGTGCTGAGGATCAAACCAAAATAAGCTACATACAAGGCAAATGCCTGACCCTCTTGTGGCATCTCTGCCCCATCACTTGTCATGGCAAGGCCCCTGTCCGGCTCATGCCACACTTGACAACACTTTGTCGTAGCACTAATATTCTCCCTTCCTTGCACTCACTCCAGCCCCCAGTGCCTTTGCTCGGAGACAAACTTTAAGCAGAGGCCTGGGGCTGTAGAGGTCATGCACAGGGTCAGGTGCAGCCTGGCTTGTGGACAATCCTTGTTTGATCTCTGGCATCACATGATACCCCCAGCACTACTGTGTGTGACTCCCAACACTACTGTGTGTGACTCCTCCCTCCCTGGCCTGTAACCCTGAGCACTGTTGGATGTGATCCCAAAACACAACAAAACAAAAAACAAGAAGCCTCAAGGCCACACTCCCTCTGCCCAGAGTGCCAGTCCCTCGGGCTCCTCTGCCAGGGCCTCCATCTCAGTGGCCTTCACATCGCACACCTCTCAAGGCCCTTTCTCCTGCCCCTGGAGCTGCATAAACCCCCTCTCCTTTTTTTTTTTTTTGTTTTTTGGGTCACACCCAGCGATGCTCAGGGGTTACTCTTGGCTCTGTACTCAGGAATTTTCCTGGCAGTGCTTGGGGGACCACATGGGATGCTGGAAATGGAACCTAGGTCTGCCGCGTGCAAAGCAAACGCCCCACCCGCTGTGCTATCACTCCAGATCCAAACCCTCTCTCCTTTTGCAATTTTTTTTTTGGTGGGGGGGTGGGGGCGGGGTTGGTGGTAACCTGGGATCCACCAGGGCTCTGACTATTGGTGCTCAGGAGGCCGTGTGGTTACCCAGGGCACTTTGCATGTCAGGCATTGCTTCTGTCTCTTAAAAAAAATTGTGGGTCAACCCGGCGGTGTTCTCTCATGACAACAAACATGTTAAACTCGGTACCGTCTCTCCAACCTGCTCCTGGTTCCTGCTAGCCAGGCTCCATCAGAGCTAAAAGGCCTCTCTGAACACCTCTGACTTTGCCAGGATCACAGGAAGTCTGGAATTAAGAAAATCTGCCACTTTATAGAGAATCTTAGTGATGACTCCTTTTTTGTTCTCTGACACTCTGGCCTTACCTTTCTCCAGCTTCACTCATTGTGAGTGTCACCTTTGCAGAACAAGGGGGCTACAGAGATGGTCTCTGTTCTTCATTTACTGGGCAGCCCTGGGCAGATCTAGACCCTTGGGCAGATCTAAACTCCCAGGGCTCAGCTGCAGAATCTGAACCCTGTAGAGTCTCCTATGTGACCACTGAGCCATAAGGTAAGGCCTGGGGACCCTGATGCACAGATGCCTCCCAGAGGTGCAGCGGGGCTAGATTTCCCCTGGGGTTTCTAGTTTTCCTCTTTGCAAGAGAATGAGTTCCCGTGCCTCATCACACAGTTTTACTTCTGTACATACCCAACTGCAATCTGAGTCCCAACCTCTTCTGCCTGTTCCCCTGAGGCTGTAGGTGGATTTCAGTGGTGGCTGAGGGACCTGGGGGCACTCTTGGGTTTGTTACTGAAAAGGGAGTACCCAGTTGATGTTCTCCATGACAGATGACATTCAAGTAAAAACAAAACCAAACAAAACCACAAACTTGTAGGACCAGAGAGATAGTATAGTGGGTAGGGTGCTTTCCTTGCATGCAGCCTGACTGGGCTCAATGCCCAGTGCTCCAGATGGTCACCTGAGCACACCAGGTTCTATCTCTGAGCATAGCATCAGGAAGTCCTGAGCATTGCTATGTGTGCCCCTCCCTCCAACCAGATAATAAAACCTCAAAAACAAACAAAAAACTACAACACAACTTGTGAAGGTCAGAGGCCCGCTCAGGCCCAATCAGGGTGGAGAGAGTTGAAGCACACTCCTTTGACATGTGCTCAGTGGGTGGGGAGCAGGGTAGGACCCAACAGGAGGATCCCAGCTAAGGGCACAGCTGGAGGGAGGATGGGGCATGGCACCCTCCGGAGGGTCCCTCGACCAAGACTCACACGACTGCCGGCATGGAGCACTTGCTGCTGGTGTAGAAATATTCCTGGATGTGGGCCCGTGGCACGGAGCGGCCGATGTAGGAGAAGCAGCAGGGCGTGGTGTCCGAGGCATCTGGGAGGAGAACGACAGGAACGGTTTTCACTGCCTGTGCACACTGAGTCTCACGCTGAGCATGTTCTAGCACTTTCCTCCCTCGGTCCAAACCCAGACAGACTCACTGGTGACACCACAAAACAGAGGCAGGCGGGGGGGGGGCCCAAACACTCCATCCTGGGGTGCAGTTAATCCCCTTCCTGCCTCTAATCCCTAGGGTTCAGGTTCTCAGGGCATGCTTGACCTTCTCTCGGGTTGTCCTGGGGTCTCTGCCCTTATTTGTGCCTTCCTGGGATCCTCGGTGGATTCAGAAACTTGGTTTCTTGGAGCCCTGTGGTTTTCTGCAGGGACATTCGCCACACTCAGGACTCTGGCAAGGGATCTGCAGAGGCTGCAGGCATTTGGGGAAACCTTGGGAGGAAGCTTGAGGAGAAGTTTCTGGACAGAGGAGCACTGAGTCGGTCACTTTGTTCAAGATGACCATGGGACGTGTCCTGCTCCCGGTAGAGTGCTTCAGAACAAGCAGAATGCTAGCTTCCCGCAGGGCCTAGCTGTGTGCCCTTAATCAGAACCTGATATCTCTGGGCCTCTGTTTCCCCCAGGTCAGTGCTCTAAATTGTGATGACTATTATTATTAGTTTTGGGGACGGGCGGGGGGGGGGGGCGGATACTCTGCAGTTCTCAGGCATCATACCCTGATTTGTGCCCGGGGCCACACCTGGTGGTGCTCTGGGGATCATATGTAGTGCCGGGATTTCAAGGAGGGCTTCAGTTGCTGCTCATGCCAGGAGCACCTAAACCTTTGTACTCTCTTCTGGCACCCAAAGTTGTGACTGTTCTTTTTATTTTATTTAAATTTTTTAAAAAAATTGAACCACCTAGAGCTACAGTTACAAAGTTTTCATGTTTGAGTTTCAGTCATACAATGATCCAACACCCATCCCTCCACCAGTGCACATTTTCTACCACCAATGTCCCCAGAATTCCTTCCACCATCCCATTCTACCTCTCCCCCTGACTCTATGGCAGACAATTGCCCTCTTTTTCTCTCTCTACTTATGGGCATTATGGTTTGCAATATAGATTACAGATAATGAGACTCCATCATGTTTGGTCCTTTATCCACTTTCAGCACACATCTCCCGTCCCTCCAACCATCATTGACTTAGTGATCCCTTCTCTATCCCAGCTGCCTTCTCCCCCAGCTCATAAGGCAGGCTTCCAACTGTGGAGTAATCTTCCTGGCTCTTGTCTCTACTGTCCTTGGGTATTAGTCTCATATTATGATATATTATATTCCACAAATGAGTGTAGTCCTTCCATGTCTGTACCCCTCTTTCTGACTCTTTTCACTTAGCATGATATTCTCCATGGCCATCCACTTATAAGCAAATTTCACGATTTCATCTCTCCTAACAGCTGCATAGTATTTCATTGTGTAGATGTACCAAAATTTCTTTGACCAGTTGTCTGTTCTAGGGCACTTGGGTTGTTTCCAGATTCCGGCTATTGTGAACAATGCTGCAATACAGGTGCAGATGTTGTTTCTACTGTTCTTTTTTGCACCCTTGGGATATATTCCCAGAAGTGTTATTGCTGGGAAGTTGTGGCTATTCTTAAGATGATAAACGTAGAAGAAACAATTGGCACCATCCCATATTTAATCCATCTAGGCAGTTAATGAACTTGATTATCCTTTCTCAAAACCCATTTCTTTTTTCCTGGTCTATGAAATAGGGGAGCCTATATCTGCCTCTGTCTGTCCCAGTAGTTTTCCTTTGAACTGCTTAGAGGTGTCTTGGAAACCTCCCAGCCATAGGTATGAGCTGCCTTGAATACTTAGTATAGATGTGCATTTGATGAACCCCATGGGGCTTTGGATGGAGCTTAAAGGCATAGGAAGTTGATCTGTAATTCTACCAAGGGGTAGCTTAGAGATCTCGGTGGGGGGTGGGGGGTGAGGGGGACACCTGTTCTTCTGGGTCAACAATATATAGGAATGTAAACCAGGGGTCTAAGGAATAGTCTAGCAGGTGAGGAACTTACCTTGAGTTTTACCTTACCTCAGTTTGCTTCCCGGCACCACATAGGATCCCCTCAGTATCACCGGGAATAATCCCTGAGTACAGAGCTAGGCAGAAGCCCTGACCACTGCCAGATGTGTCTCTCCCCTCCACCAACAAAATGAAAGAAAGAAAGAGAGAAAGGAAGAAAGAGATAGAAAGAGAGAGAAAGAAAGAAAGGAAGGAAGGAAGGAAGGAAGGAAGGAAGGGAGAAAGAAAAAAGGAAAGAAAGAAAGAAAGAAGAAAAGAAAGAAGGAAAGAAAAAGGAAGAAAAGAAAGAAAGAAAGAAAGAAAGAAAGAAAGAAAGAAAGAAAGAAAGAAAAATAGGGGCTGGGGACTAGCTCAGAGATCAGGTGTCCGGACTTTGCATGCACCAGGACCCGACTTTGGACCTTGATGCCACATAGCCCCTGAGCTCTCCGGGGTGTGACCCTGCTGGTCCCTGTCACTTCAGGGTCCGAGAAGCTCTGTATTCTGGGCTCTTGGCTTTGGATTTTCTGGCCTGTTTGGCAGAATGTCACTGAGAATAGTCCCCAGAACCTGTGTGGGTGATCCCCATCCCCACCAAAAACAGAATGGAAGTCACAGGATCCTGACAGTGTGAGTGCTAGAGTTGGAAGGAGGATAGGACTGACCACGCTGAGGGGCTGATGGCCAGAACCTGCACTTACGTGGGGAGGCGGACGCAGGTGCGCACAGGGCTGCGGTGGCCAGCACGAGGGCGAGGGCAGCGGTGGACCCCTGCATGGTGCTTGGGCTTCTGAGCTGGCACGCTCACTTGCTGTCTCAGGTTCTCAAGATTTCACTACAACTCTGGCACTTTATAGGGGACCAGACCAGTAGAGGGGTTACTTCCTGACGGGGAGTTTCCAGCTCAGCTGCTACACATTGGCTCATCTCAGCAGTGAAGTCACAGCAAACAGAAAAGAAAACTGAAATCACTCCTGGAAATCTCCTACGCCCCAATTTCCTGGAGGAAGCGTCCCCCTCTCCTGACACCCTCAGTCTCATGGCCCGGGGGAGGGGGTCCTCCCTGGGCTCCCCTGCTTTCCTGGGGCAGTTAGGGCAGCGTTGAAAACCACACAGCTTGGTGGGGTTTAAGTGCTGCAGTATGATCTGTGCCTCCTCTTCCTTCTCCATGGATGGATGCTGATGGAAGGTGACTCCCTGTGGGGGCCGGGGTTCCCCTGACATGTGCCCTAAAGGAGGCGAGAGCAGCTCCTCAAGACACAGCAAGATCAGTGACAGTGTGGGCAGATTGGTCTGGTGTGTGTGTGTGTGTGTGTGTGTGTGTGTGTGTGTGTGTGTGTTGGGGAGAGTGTTCTTACTTTCAGCAGGATAAAGGAATTCTCCCCAATTCCAGTTAACTTGGTGCATGATCCTTAGGATACAGGCTTATTGAGTGAGGAGAGGGGGGACTTTGAACCACACACGGCTATTAGTCATGTATTGAAGATTTATACAATACCAGTCACTATTGTGCTATTCTTTTTTTTTTTTTTGCTTGCTTTTTGGGTTATACCCAGCAAAGCACAGGGACTAATCCTGGCTTTGCAGTCAGGAATTACTCCTGGCAGTTCTTAGGGGACCATATGGGATGCTGGGAACTAAACCTGGGTCGGTCGTGTGCAAGGAAAATGCCCTACCTGGTGGATTATTGCTCCAGCCCCACTATTCTGCTATTCTTAGGCCCATTCTCTCTCTCTCTCTCTCTCTCTCTCTCTCTCTCTCTCTCTCTCTCTGCTTTTGGGTCACACCTGGCAGTGCTCAGGACTTACTGCTGGTTTTGTGCTAAGGGGTCACTCCTGGCAGGGCACAGGGGACTATATAGGGTTCTGGAGATCAAACCAGGGTCAGCCACACGCAAGTGCCTTAACTCATGTACTCTCTTCCCATGCCTGTATGGTAGTGTTCAAGATGCTTTTGTTTAGTATGTACATAAATAATACATTCAGAGTTATAGAGGTTTATATACATATATATATATATATATATGTTTTTTCCTTTCTTCTTTCTTTTTGCCATATCCAGAGATGTTCAGGGTGCTCTTGGCTCTGCACTTGGGATCATTCTGGCTATGCTTGGGAGACCACATGAGGTGCCAGAGAGGGAATCTGGGCTGGCCCCATGTAAGACAAGCACTCTACCCACTATACCATGTCTCCAGTTCCCATTTATCTTCTAGCTGTGGAAAATTAGTAAATACTGGGGTGTCATCTTATCTCTAAGGTCCTCCTGAGCACAAAAGCAACAGGCAAATGAAAGGGCTTTAGGCATCTTTTATCTACGCTCTCAGTCTCAAGAGAGGAAATGGAGACCCAGAGCGTGGAAATGACTCACGAACACTCAATGGATGCATGATGGGGACCAGCATCTGGGGCTGTGACTTTCACCCAAATGCTCGCTGACATCCTTGAGTACATGGTGTGGGTGGTGTAGACGAGAGTCAGGGTCCTGACTCCATGCCTCAGAACTAGATACACAAGTTTTCATTGATTCCTACTTGGGATTCAAAACTAGCCATCACATAGTCTGGATTGAACTGAACCAACTTAAGGATGATTGGAAGTGTCCTGCCTGGGGGAGGGCTCCAAGGACTGGAGTCCTTGTTTACATGCAGGAACCCTAGTTTGCTCCCCTAAGTGTTCCTGTAAGTGCTTCTGACATCCTCACGGAAGGAAAGTGTCTCCTGACAAACAAAATAATAATTAAGAAAAAAAGTAACTTTAAAAAAATCAAGTATATTCTTGATAACCTTTCAGTAACAATAATGTAAACTACAAGGCCCAAAAAGGCCCAAAAGGGGGAAGAGGGGGAGAGAGAGAGAGAGAGAGAGAGAGAGAGAGAGAGAGAGAGAGAGAGAGAGAGAGAGGAAAAACTCTTGCCAAAGAGGCAGACAAGGGGTGGGGGGTAGGGGGGGTTGATGGAAGGGAAACTGGGGACACTGGTGCTAGGAAATGTACACTGGTTGAGGGAAGGGTATTGGAATACTGTATGACTGAAATTAAATCATGAATGGCTTTATAATGATCTAAAAATAATTTAAAAAGTCAATCTTCTACCTCTACCCATTCATCTTTCCTCCCTCCCTCCCTCCCTCCCTCCCTCCTTCCCTCCCTCCCTCCCTCCCTCCCTTCCTTCCTTCCTTCCTCTCTTTCCTTTTCTCTTGTTTTTGGGCCACACCTGGCAGTGCTCAGGGCTTTCTCCTGGCTCTGTGCTCAGGAATCATTCCTGGTGAAGCTTGGTGGACCATATGTGGTGCTGGGGATTGAACTCAGCTGAATTTGTTTAAGTAAGCACCCTACCCACTGTACTATACAGATCCAGGCCCCAAGGATGTTTTCTTTTTGTGCTAGTACCTATTTCCTAGGTAACCTGGTAACTGAGGGCATGGAACTGACCAGGGCAGGAAGTCATGTTAATTGTTTCTACCTCTTTTAGTTGTTTCTGCCTCACAATGATGCTGAAACATGGTGATCATTTTTCTTCTTTGATAGAAGATCTGTCAAAGAATCTGGGCCCCTAAGAATCTGGGGGTCTGAGCAGAGGTATTTGCCCATACATGAGCCAGGTGACCTTAGACAAAGTACTTACTCTTGATGCTCTCAGCTTTCTCCTCTGTAAATCAGGGTTAGTACAGAGGGTGGAGGGCTTGCCTTCATCACCATTGATGTGGGTTTGATTCCCGGTATCACATATGATGCCCTGAGCCCTACCAGGAGTGAGCTTTGAGCGCAGCTGGGTTTGGCAAACACCTCACCTTCTGTACTATCTGTCCGACCAGATAACATTATTATTAGTATTAGTATTATTATTATGAGTAAGAAAATGAGCCAGGGGAAATGTCTCAAAGGGTTAATGTGCATGTTTTGTATGCTGGAGGTTGGGGTTTGAGCCTGGATACCACATGTGGTCCCCTTGATGTCTGTGGGTCTCATGGGTGACTAATGTGAAGCGGGAAGGAGAAAGGCGGTCACTTTCTCTGTATCCGCCTCCGCCACCAGAGACCCAGGGCTACTGGGTTCTTGTCTCGCCTCTTAGAAAGGAATTTCAGGAGTATACAAGCAGTGAAATAAATAGATTTTATTTGGAGGATTTTTAAGGTGTGGAGGGAGGGAGAGAGAGAGAGAGAGAGAGAGAAAGAGAGAGTGAGTAACACACTCAAGAGACAACATGGGCTTTTCCAAGGGCAGAGAGAGCCCTTACACACATCCTAGCATTAGACACGAAAGCATGAAAGTACACATCTCAAGAGGGAAGATGCGGGTGACACATGTGCTCCAGCACCACATGTGCTCGGCCACCTGGGCGCAAGCAGCACATGGGCTTGGGCAGCATATATGGCCCTTCCTTTGTTCAAGGTGGCGTTATAAGGTTTCTCCAACCTGTCCCCATGTGGAGCTTCTACCTAAGTCAAAGTCTGTTGCTAAGGCAGTTACCAGGGGGATTGGGAGTAGTGATGGCCTTCTTTGAAATTCCTTTCCTGGTCTTTTGTTACTGCAGGAGCTTTTCTGGGTCTGTTGCTGTAGATGGGTGAGGGTTTTATTGGGCCTTGGTTCCTGTTTTTTTCCTATTTTCTTCTGAGGGTCTTATCAGGCTCTCACAACTACTTCAGGGCTACTTCTTCCAAGGAAACCTGTGCCATTGCCTTGGTAAGGGGCCTTCCCTATCCTGCCTATATCACCCTGACCACCACCAGGAGTGACTCCTGGGCACTGTTGGGTGAGGCCCAAAAACCAAACAAAGAAAAAAGAAAATGGCAGTTTCTTTATGGATATTTTGTATTTTCAACAATCTAGACAAGATATTCAATTGATATAGGTCACTGAAATTTATTACCAAAAATATTATTACTATTATTATTATTATTTAAGTTTTTGGGCCACAACTGTCTTACTTCTGGTTCTGGACTCAGGAACCATTCCTTTGGGGGTGCTTGGGGGACCAGATGCAGTGCTGGGGGTCAAATATAAAGTGCCTAACTTTTCAGCAGCTCAGAGAACTTGGGGGTCCTTGCTTCAGTGAGGGCACATGATCTATAGTGGCAGAACTCAATCCCGAGCCCGGTCTGTCTGGGTTCATAGACTCTCCATCACATTATGTGGTTTCTGAGAGAAATCCTGAAACAGTGGCCACAGTTCAGTTTTTCCAGATGAGCTCTTTTTGTGTTTCCTTTGTTTGATTTCAGTTTCAGTTTCCCTCTTTAAGGAAGAAAGGATTTTGCTGGAAGCCAGAACCGCTGAAGATAGTAGAGGTGAGGAACTCACATGATCATCATTTTTATAACGTGGTCTGTGTGTGTGTGTGTGTGTGTGTGTGTATGCTTGTGCTTGATTATAAAGAAGAGGAATAATACTCTTATTATGAGCCTGTTTCACTGCTCTTGCGTAACTGCTCCGAGCTTTTCTTTAATTCTTTCTTCTCCTTTACTCTTTGTGCTCCATACCCCAACCAATGTCTCGGATGGGCTGGCCCAGTCTTAGTAACTTCTTAAAGCATCCTGATGGAGTTCAGAAGCTCCTAAATTCAAAACCCAGCTTGAGGGGCCAGAGAGAGTACAGTGGGGAAGGTGCCTGCCTCATATACAGTTAACCTGGGTTTGATCCCCAGCGTCCCATATGGTCTCCTGAACACTTCCAGGAGTGGTTCCTGATTGCAGAGCCAGGAGTAATTCCTGAGCATGGCTGGATGTGGCCCCAAAACAAACAAACAACAACAGCAAAAAAAAACAAGCAAAAATTCAGGTTGAGGTACTGGGGAGATAGTACACAGGTAGGGCACTTGCCTGGCATGAAG